GAACTGCATGAGGGCGCAACCAATTGCAAAGTCACTTGCATCACACACCACGTGAAACGGTTTGGTGTCGTCAGGGAGTATCAACACTGGCGCCGACGCCAGGCTTTTCTTCACTGCGTCAAAGGCTGCTTGATGTTCGGGACGCCACGACCACGTGGCGTCTTTCTTCAGAAGTGACGACAGGGGCTGTATAGAACCGGCGTAATCCTTTGTGTACTTATGCAAGTAATTAGCTAGACCGAGCCATTGACGTAACTCCGTAGGGTTCTTGGGTGTGGGCCAAGAACAGATTGACGACACCTTCTCTGGATCGGCTCGAACACCCGATTTACTCACGTAGCAGCCCAGCACCGGAATCTCCGGTGCACAGAATACACACTTCTTCAAGTTTGCATATAACTTGTTATCTCGCATGACTTGAAACACCTGCTTCAGGTGTTGAAGGTGAACTTGGACAGCACTGAGATTGCCCTCAGCGCGACTGTGGACAAAGATGTCATCGAAGTAGCTAGGAGCAAAGTCTCGAAGCGGTCTCAACACTTGAGATACCATGCGATTGAAAGTGGCTGGTGCGTTCTTCAATCCTTGTGGCATCACCAGCCACTCCCAAAGCATACCACTCGGGGTGCTCACCGCAGTGAGTGGTATGTCACTCTGTCGCATCAAGATCTGGTAGAAGCCATCGGTCAGATCGATGGCGCTGAAGATGACGCTACCTGACATGGAGTTTAGAACCATGTCTTTCCTGGGGATAGGCGTTTGGGCAGGAATAGTGGCATCGTTGAGCTTGTTAAACGCATGCACTATACGCCAGCCTCCCGTAGCCTTCTTCACGCAGAAGGTTGGACTCGAATGGGGAGAGACACTCTCACGCACATGACCGGCCTTGCGACGACCTTCGAAGAATGCATCAATAGCCTCGACTTGGTCTCGAGGCAACGGCCACTGCCGTGTCACACAATATTTCGATCCTGGCACGAGATCAATCTCGTGCCGCACGCCACGATCGGCAGGGAGTTCGGCCGGAATCTTGTCCGGGAACACGTCGGCGTACTCTCGTGCAATGTCGTAAACAGGGTTATCAGACTCGCGCAGAGCCTCCCAAGATTGCGACGCAAATCTTTCTTCGCGCGCTGATTTCTTTTCAGCGCTTCGAGGGCGCGTCATTAGCTCCTCATTCGGCTCATGAGTCACCTCGTTGGTGACCAGACATACTTGTTCCACCGTGCCTCCCTTGAGGTCGCGTAGAAAATGCTTCCAGGAGAGTCCTGGAAGGCTCGTAATAGATGACGCGTCGCGAGGTGGACTCGCGACCTCAATGTATTGGCGCCTTTGTGGACTCCCGTCCACGTACACAATAGCGTGAACACATTCCAACGCTGAGTTCTCGTAGCTTGCGTCCCCATCGTGCCTCGAGTCCATGCTCGAAGCTGGCGAACCGCAGTCAGGTGTTAAATCTGCACCCCCCTCTAGACGCTGGATGTCCTCATCCAGGACGTCGAAATCGCGCGACGGGAGTATTCCATACTCGTCCGTCGACGCATGATGCGGGAGCCCCTGCTCTACCGCCACAAACTCGTGTGGGAGCCCCTGCTCGACCACGTCTTGCTCATGTGGGAAACTCTGTTCGACCACAGTAGGCGATGATGGGATCCCCTGTTCGACCATCATATTCGCACGTGGGGACTCTTGTCCATCCACGTCACACTCGGTGGCGAGCCCCTGCTCGGCCACGTCTTGCCCTTGTGGGAGCCTCTGCTCGACCACAATGGGTACAGGTGGGAACACCTGTTCGTGTTCGACCACTGCTCTTTCGTGCGGGAACCGCTGTTCGACCGCGTCGTCGTTGCGCGGGAGCCACTGCTCGTCCGCGTCGTCATTACGTGGGAGCCACTGCTCGTCCACGTCGGACTCCTCGCTGCAAAGCGAGGAGGCATCATCACTCGTGCGTAGGGGCACGGAACAAGCGGTACAGAGAGGGCCATCGCTCACTCTGTGTACCGCCGGTGTCGTGGATGTACGATCCACGACTGTAACGTTCGGCCAATCACTTGGAGACACCAAGAGATGGGTGAACACTTCGCTGACGTCGAACTTGCTTCGACGTCTCACTGATCTGGCTAACCAGTCGATCTGGGGCTTATAGCGTGCCAACCATGGCATGCCCAGGATGCAATCGAATGCATAATTCATTTCAATCACCAAGAAGTTGTCGTTACTGCGAAAGCCGTCAAACGTGTACGGCAACGACACTTCGCGCCGCGATACGCGGCGTGGTTTCCCGTCAGCGAGCTTGACAACAACTTGGCCAGGTCCCTCGTGGACCTGGATGCTGGGTGGCAGCATTGACACGCAAGATTCACGGAAGAAATTGTTTGTCGCTCCTGAATCCAGGAGCGCTCGTAGGGGTCGCCGGATACCGGCGACATGTAGATTAACAATAATCAGGCGTGAATCACCACTCGTAGTGGTGGCATTTGACCGTGCACGCAGCACAGATGGGCTGGGAGGTCGGGCTGCCACCGGTGGACCCGGACCTCTCTTCAAACCAGTAGGGCGCCCTGCACCTACTGGTCTCGTCCGTTTTTTGGACGACTGATCGGAGCACCTCCCTCATGATGGGTGTCCGACGCATGCACCGACATCGGTGCTGGCGCGCGGCATTCAGCCGCGCGATGTCCCGGCTTTCGGCATCGAAAGCAGATCATCTGACGTCCGCCTCGGACGTCGCCCTTGTAGGCTGTAGCGCGTCGTCGGTCACCCGACGACTCAATTGCATCGATCTCCATAGGTTCCGGGCCCGCTGATCTGACAGCGGTAACAACTGAAGACTTGGTATAGGCCTTGGTGACTCTGAAATCCTCACGGAGAGCGATAGCGAAAGCCTCCTCCAACGTGGCAGGCTCTGCTCGTTCCAGCGAGAGGCGAGTCTGCCCTTCACGCATGCCATCGACAAACACGTTCACTTGTGTATACATGTCCATGGGATGCGTGACAATACAAGACGCCAGATGTCGAGCCATCTGCACGTAGTCGCGCATGGACATCTTACCCTGTCGCAGGGACAGGAACCTTGAACGCACCAACTTCTCTTCCTGGGGCGGCTCGAAGGCGAGTCGAAGGTCACTCTGGATGGCTTCCAGAGTGGGGAACGCAAACTCGTCAACAACGAGTTTTCCCAAGGCCCACTCCTTGGCTTTCCCAGTGAGACGGGAAAGAAGGAAATTGACCTTCGCTTGAGGAGCCTCGAGAAGTCTCGAGGCGATAGCGATGTCGACCTCTCGAAACCAACGAGACAACGACAAGCGTTCTTTTCCTTCGCCAGAATAGGCGGAGGTCTCCATCTTCACGGCATCGTTCCGTGAAGTCCGCGAGGGAGTTAAACCTCGCCGATGGAATTCGGCGAGCTCGCGAGCCATGTAGTCGTGTATGGCGAGGCGCTGTTCATCAGGAGTCGCTGATCTCATCAGCGACACAACAAATGCCTCTCCCGATATCGCCGCGAGGCGATTTAGGGCATCCCACTCAACACCAGTGAGATGGGGAAAAGTCGCGTGCTCCAGACTCACGTCTGGAGCGTCAAAGTACGACGAATCGCTCATCCCAAACTCGGGCATGGGAAGGACTACTAAGTGCTACCAGGTGTAACGGGGCTAGAATAACCCGTACTCAGCGTACACTATTTCTAACGCTTTGAGGAAGTTCAAAGCCCAAGTCTTAGGTGTTAAGTATTTTTAACTCTGTTTATATTTTGTCTTTTAAAATCATCCTAAGTACGAATGGTTCCCTTGGACTCATGGGAACCACTCAATCTACGTGTCTATATCTTACTGGCTAATAATGGTACTGAGCCCATTAAACCAGCTAAAATATACGACGTGCTACTTTCGCTACTTCGAAAGTAACACCCCTACTTAAGTAACATGTAAACTTTCGAAACTACTTATGTAACGGGGTGGCCCATTACATTATCCACGGGGGTAATATTCTGCCAACATGACCTCTTCTCGGGTAATGTTAATTGAACATTCTCGAAACCGCTAATATACAAAAATTGATACATTCGTATCAATTTTTTTACGTAACGGGCTCACCCCGTTACAAGATGTGTTCCTAGAACGACACTTCTCAATTGTAGATAGATAAACACACGAGCTTGTCTACCCCACATGCACGAAGTTCGTCGAGCATAGGGTGCTAGAGCCCTTCATTCGCTTCTGCTATTACTACTGTCGTCAGCTCAGAAGGCTTTGTGGACGTGTCTGGGCCGAGTACAAGTGGACCGGCAATCTTTTCTGTGGCTATCATGCGGCTAAACGGATCGTCTATGTGGACTTCGTCCTAACTATGACTGAATGGTTCCTGGCCAAAGAAACAACTTGCCCCTTTGCCTGTCAACTGGTCCTTCCCCCCCCCCGCCGGCCTACGTGTCCATTCGCCAAGAAGCTCTGAAAGCCGCACACGACATCGTCCATCTATCACTGCAATGAAAGGAGTACCTTCTGTTATCGCCGTCATGAGCAAAGCATCGAAGAGCGCGAGCACGCTCGCTGTCGTGCCGCTCGTGCTTACGTCTGCCAGCATCACCCGCTACGCTCGCTCGACTAGCAGCGCTGCGCTGGAGCAAGAGAGGGCACAACATCACCACGCGGCATTGGCGTGGAAGGGCGCACGGTAGTCGACCGAGAACGACGACGACGACGGGAACAAGTCGTGCGGTCGCTTTCATCACGCGGACGCGGCTTCGACGTGTATTCCTTACGGGCCTTCTGAATCCTAAAGCAGCGTCTGTAGCACTGGTATGGACATACACGAGGAGGTGCTGCAAAGAAACATTGGCATACACTAATGTTGGACGTGTAGCACAACAGGGCATTGCAAAGGATACAAAATGAGACAGAAGAAACACGGAGTCAACAACACGCGTTGCTGTCTGAACTTATACGAGTTGCGTCTAGTACTCCTTCGACCCGTCCTTCTTGGTCTCCTCTTCAGCGAGTCTAGGCAACTACCTCACTTTTGAGAGTGAGCACCTTGACAGGTACGCCAACTGCCAACTGAGACGCTATCGAGCGCATATCCTCCGACTCCAGCACCAAGTTCGAGCCAAAATACCCTTCGCACTTTTTGCCGTTTGTGAAACCCAAGCGAGCACCGTTGCGCTCACGCACGATAGTACGAGATGGCTCACGCTCCAAATGGACTTCACCTGTTGCTTGGTTGACACTCGGCATACCACAACGCGAGCAAGGGCGCACATTGCGAAACAGCATGCCGTTGATGGCGATAGAATCCCAATGCTCGTCTGCGAACGCCGGACTCCCTCGTACGACAATACTAACGAAAACCGAACAACAGAGCATCAGCGACACGGCGTGTCACGGCGAACAGAGCTTCTAAGAATCGATACAGTAACGTACTTGGGACGGAACCGATTCATAGGAACGGGATTGTCGAGCATTGTGTTGAACTCTTCAAGCGATTCCTCCAGTGCGAGGAGGAACGGAAATGCATCGGCAAAGTTTGTCGAATGCCCCAGCGCATATTCCGGTTTCGTATACCGCGTGAACCCCTCTTTCGCCTTCACTAGACGAAAGCTGCAGTCCGGCTCTTCTCCAAGAAAAGAGTCTAGCCACGTTGCTGCTGCGTCTCCCTGGTCCACTGCCTCCACTGTATCCGCCCAAATGGCCACGTTTCTCACAATGCTGCCGTCACCAGCTTGTTGTACCGGTACAATCAGCTCGGACATTCCCTTGGCGATCAGTACAATCGCCTCTGCCTCCACCGCATCCAAACGAGGCAGCACTTTCGGGTGCACCAGCGCTAGTTTCGGATATCTCCTCTGTGTCACCACTTTGTTCCTCGTTCCGTCAATGATCGCCCATTCTCGATCATGCAGCAAACCTTTCGCTGTCAATTGCGTCGCTTGTATGGAGACCCCACCACACGACTTTATTGGGTACACGTAAAGCCCCGAAACGGTCGAACCCGAAAGCTTCGACTCCTCCCTCTTTCGATCCCAAAGCTGCACGTCGTGACTTTTAGACATGGGCGCGTTAGTTCGATCCAATTACATGTACCGTATCCCAAGACCTCAAATCCGCTGCGCTAATGAGTGAGTGCTCCACAATTCAGAAACAGCAGCAAAGATGAGCGAATCCCTGCGCGTCCAAAGGCGTTTGCAAACGTACCCCTCGTCGCGCCAGACATACCCCCCTCATCTCGTCCATCATCGATTGCGTACTTACCGCGTACTTACACCAGCCGCAGCCCACTACCGCATCAGCCACTGAATCTACCGGTATGCCTCCCAGTATATCAACTCTCGCAGGACACCGACCTCTCTTTTCTCATTCTCCATTCATTATGCCTTTGTTCCTCTCCTGCTCACGCATTTGCAGCCATGACACCGCCCGAGCGCCCGCAGCTGTTCCTCGTGCATTGGACCCGCACGCTGAGCGTCTCACTGCCGCCCAGCGCTGCGACAGTCGACGCGATCGCGTCGTGTCTCCAGCAGCGCGCAGGCGTTCCGTCGTCGCTCGTCGACCTGTACGTGAACGGCCGCAAACTCGAAGCCACGAGTCCCGTCCCGGCGTTCCCGACGATCCTGCGCGCCCGATTGCGCGGCGGGTTACGCGGTGGGAAAGGCGGGTTTGGCGCCATGCTGCGCAGTATGGGCAAAGCCTCTGGGGCCAAAGCCACGACGGACTTTGGCGCGTGTCGGGACCTGCACGGCCGTCGCCTGCGGCACGTGAACCAGGAAGTCGCTATGCGCAAGTGGCTCGACGAGACGGACGCGCGAAACGCGCGTGGGAAGCAGCAGATGGACGATCGAGAAGTGCTGGACGAGGAGACGCGGAGCGGGATTCCTGGGTGGTACTTGGCCACGCCGTCGTGGGCCGAGGGCGTGAAGAAGTCGTACATGAAGCGACGACGCAATACAGTGCTGTGTAAAAGCTGGCTCAAGGCACGAGAAGGGGGGAAAGTAGCGCCCGTGGGTGCGCCACGCTGGTGGGGCTGTCCACGTGGACGCGACTGTGACTTTGCGCATGGCCAAGACGAGCTGCGGGGCGAAGGACTGACTGAGCTGAAACGCGTGAAACAAGAAGAGGAAGAACGGTCCAAGCAGCTGGCATTGCAGAGCTATGTGGACTATGAACAGGAGATGCCGGAGGATGTGCTGGACGCTATCAAGACTGGACTTGGACGTCGAAAGACGAGGGGTCGAGTGGGGAAGCAGCAGAAGAGGCAGGACGCTCGCGTGCTGCCACCGCCAGATGCTACCTCGTATATCAGCGTGCGCTCGGTGCAGCGTGCGTTGCCGGTTGTTGAAAACTGGCTGCAGCTTGTGAGCGACGACAGCAAAGAGGACGTGTGTGCTGGTGTGAAAACGACGTTCAAGCACGGTTTGTGCGAGCTGCGTGGCCGAGGCAACTTTGGCACGGCGTCGGCGCGGCATTGTTGCGCCTTGACCCAGGGTAGATGGTATTATGAGGTGCGTCTTGTCACAGCAGGTGTCGTGCAGATTGGTTGGGCAGACTCAACATTTGAGGTCAACTCGGAGACGGGGGATGGTGTGGGTGACCACGAGCGGTCTTGGGCTTACGACGGGTTTCGACAAGTCAAGTGGAATAATGGCAAAGACGAGGAGTACGCGACGGACGATCTATGGAGTAAAAACGATGTGATTGGTTGCCTGCTGGACCTGGATGAGGGCACGGTGTCATTTACTCGCAACGGTGTCGATCTCGGTGTAGCATACCACAACGTCAAGCACTCTTCGAGTGATCAGGGTTTCTTCCCGGCCATCAGCGTTGAGCAAGCGGAGATCCTGCTCGTCAACATAGGTTCGCAACCGTTCCTGTACGAGGCTCCTGGGTTTGAGCCAGTCATGAATGCCTTGAATGCAGACGCTACCGAAGACTCGCCCGGTGTCACGAGCAACAACGCTGCGTCAGCTACTATTTCGGTTGATGATTGCGGAAGCGCTGGTCCTGTCGCAGAACATGGCACGGAGGAACTTGGAACGAGCAAGGAGTAGCGGTCAAGAAATGCGAAAAGGACTTGCCCACTGTAGATTGATACAGCACGAGATTGCTGCGTCGCTGGTGCTGAGAAGGACGGACATACACAAGACAAGCAGCAGTTAAGTGGCATACCAATGGCAAAAGGAAGTTGAGCGTCTACAATGGCAAAATGGCAGGCCAGATCGCGATCGGACCGGTTCGATGAGCACCCACTCACAACGAGCAACTTGCGGCATCAGTGCGAATCAGTGCTAACAAGGGTCGTACGAGGAGTACACATTGGCACTTGAACACACGATCAACGATCGGTTGCTTCTGTGCCTCTTCATGTAGTGCATTGTCGCAGGCGCACATTGATTTTGTGCTCTTGCATTGGATGTGACTTTTGCTCGTGATAAATACCACAAAAACGACAGGCAATAGCTAGCTCGGCTTTTTGCATGAATGCCGAAATTATGTAACACCGGCAAAGACATTGCTGCATTGCTGCCACGGCTGAGTGTCTATCTATTGCGACTTGTGTAGCGCGTGACAGCTAGGCAAACGGACGTGTGGAGGGCCGTATTCAAAACAGGTGGAATACTTGGGCAACAAAGGTCGCACTTACTGCGCGCATACAGTGGCGAGTGTGCTATCATCTAGTCGATGTCGATATCATGGACTTCTCATAGTAGATGTCGATATTTACGAGCAGGACTAAAGCATCGTTTATGACCGCATAAACGACCGCAAATATATCGTAACCGGGTGACCGTGTTTCATGTCACTGGCACCAAAACCAAAGTCAAGGTAAATATTATCTTAATTATTAGAGGGTTGCCCTTTATTGCCTTGCTGTGAAGGTTATGAGGACATCTTACCATAATAAGTAATATTTGGTACTGATTCATTTGTTTCTTGATATGGGCCATTATAGTAACCATCTACTGTAAACCACCAATTGCTGCAAGACGCGCGCAATGGCGGTGAGCAGGTAACTATAGTAGGTAGATGTAGCTCAAATTGTAAAATTAAGTCAAAGAGATATAGTTAGAAGAAGACTTCAGATGTAGATTACCTATCGTTCAATTTTTCTCTTCTCCAAAACGTGTTCGTTAGAATATTTGAGCATTTCTTTGCGTGAACAGTGTACGTGGGTTTACGAGCACCCCTGCCAGCACTGTGTCATTGCAATAAGCTTGTACTGTGCCAGTACAAGCAGACTGTAACGTGTTACGAGACCACAGTAGTAAGTATCATTCCTACCTTTCACCCCAAATAACTGGATGTCCTTGATCAAGGTTGGTAGCGCGACAACGAAGGTGAATGTTTCCTGAATCGCTGGGTATCTTGCGAAGGTGAAGTCAAATGTAATTGATATGAGATCGAAATTTTGGCAAGGCAGAGTTACAAACAGCATGGCCGAGCGGACGCTTGTCGACGTAGCTTTACAATTCGACTTGGCAGGTAGGACCGAGGAATCCATAGCATCCTCAATATAGCTGGACACCTTATTGCGTGGCTTTGCAAAATATACGAACAAACGTCCTTTGCTGACGGTAGCGAGGTATTGTGTGATAGACACCGGACATTGCGGTTCGGCTGCGTACCCGATTTTATGGGTATTGCTGGTCGATCACGTGCCTCAATATACATCACTTTCAACAACAACGTACCCGATCATTGGTCATCTTCTTAATTCCCTCTGTGACGAATAAGCATTAGATGAACATGCAATGGTAGACAGTGTAGGTAGACAAATTTTTATCGTCGAACTTGCACCCAAACCTTTCTCTGCACCACCCGGTTCAACAATCAACGGCAAATATTTAATTCTTGCACTATAAGGGCACAGTCCAGCAGCTTTATCACAGGACTACTACGGCAATGCTATGGTCGTGGGTCTTTATCACTCACAAATTGTCCCCCAGCTGTGGAACCTAGCTATAACGAATTTCCCCATAATTATAGGTAGTACATATTCAGTTTTCTGGACTGTACGACAAAGCGATCTCCACAGCTTGATCTCCCATCTCAAGCTGATCACCACGATACACTATATGACGTCTCAAGTCACGACTTTATACCACCTTGACTTGTTTGATCATAAAGAGATGCTTACTAGATTATACCCGCCATCGATAATATGTTTTATCGGATTTATACTTTACTTAAAATTAAAAAAGAATGCTTGTCTGGGAACCGTAATCATTGCGAAATACCAACTTAGGTTCGAGGACAGCTCTACAAGCATTAGTTGACTCATTTGCGATACATCGGCCAGGCAACTTCAAATGCACACGTGTTTTTTTGTCCGAGTGGATTTTTCGATGTACATGTGACAAGTCGATTGACTTCAGTAATTTACCAACCATCTCTCCTTTTGTATCTCATCCGAAATATCATATTCGGTCCGCACCGACTGAGCGCCCCATCCTCTTCGATGTGATTAATAAGATATAAATTGATACAAGCTTATGGCAACGCACATGCTTTAGCTCATGTCCCAACTCCCGCTCCATTCTGATCTCCCGCTAGCTTTATAACCCCCACATAGTATATTATTTTCATCACCCTACCAGTTGGAGAGACAGTAGGCTAGACGGGCAGCCCCGTGAAATGTAGCAATGGAAAAGAGAGCTAGCCGAAATACAGGTATACGTGACTACTGAACAGTGCATAGCATCGCATTGGTTGACTGCAAAATGCTGCAGGCGTACATATGCTCGTCACTATCGATCAAATAATGTCGATGATAACAGCGGCAATACCGTTTCACTACCGAATAGATTCCGAGATCGAGTGGCTGGATCATAGCTGTCGTTTGTGTCAAAGAAAACAAATACGAGATGACAACGTTTCGGTCTTCTGTGACATGAGACGTTTTCATGCCATGTACAAGAACACACTGTCACGCCACTCCATCTATGCAGATCCCACAAAATCTCAAATGGTGACACGGGAAAATAGGATAAAACCCCCACACGTTTAGACCCGTGTCGAAATATGCAGGGGCCTGCAGATGCAGTACCTTATTCAAAATCTACAGATCAGTGATATCGAGTCTGGTCTATTGGCTTTTGTTCGAGGCGGCCTTGACTTGTTGAATTCGCTATGTGCCTTCCGTTTGCTACGATTCGAATTTTGATCGATTCTATCGATTCGGCTGAAAGAAGACATCTTGCGAAACGAAAGACTGCGATAAGTTGTAAGCTTATGCAATGTTATGAACATATTCGTCTCATGTACCACAAGTCAAAGAAGGGGAAAAGTGCAATGGGACACAATCATTTCGAAACAACGCCGTGTATCAAATAGAGACAGAGCTCTAGTATAGTGTATGTCACATCAAGGGTATGTATGGTGTCCACGAAAGTGTCGGATCTGGTATGCGACATGCCTCAAGCATGTTCACGACACTTCTTTCATCGAATCTGCGTCATCAATGGGTTCGCAGCTGGAACTGCACAATGTACATGTGCACATGCGTTATCGTTACAAGAAGTCTGGCTCCATGTGACTATTGTCGAAGGAGCCAAAATGTATTGCAACGAGCTCGGACGCAAGTGGGATCCGCAACGTTGTGCACTGTACAATTAAGTGGCTGTATTGCATCCATCGATATCGTTGATACGCTCTTCATCGGCTGTCGTCCTTTTTTTGGGCGCTACATTGCCTTAACCATCACGTGCTGAACTGCCTTAGTTTGTAGTTTTCACGATGCCTGTCAAAAAGATAACACTTTTGAGACCGCAAGTGCACGGCTATAATGTTCAGATGATCAATTTGGTAAATGGAATACGCTTGCAAGCCTGAGCGGCCAATACTGCCGACGTGCTTGACATCAGGACAGCGACGTGCATCTGTTCGTGCTTTTTGAGTTGCGAGAACCTGAAGAGAAAAATCAGTAATAGGAAATGTAGCGGAGCTCCACAGCTCCTTAACTCAGAGGAAGACTTAAACGCTCAATGAGCAACTTAAGGTCCAGAGAACCCGACTCAAAGAGTCAACAAGCTTAGAGACCTTAAGGTCCCTGTTCCAGGGGGACCAAACGATTCAAAGAATCAAACGCACAGAGTGCACAAGGAGTAGCTGCCTTAACAAGGCGTTGCTATCTCCTTAAAGATCACAAGACGCCTCAAAGAGGCACATGTCTATCGGATCAAAATGGGAACTGAATTTTGTTTCTTCATTTAACCTAAAAGAACACCTTCGAACAAAGTAATTAACCTACTCGCTCATGTCCTAAATAAACCTCTCAAAAGATCTCGTAATCAATGATTGACAGACATCAGTCTTCAACAACTAATAATGTGTTCTAATATTACTTTAAAAGGGGATCCCATCCCTTGTGTGCACCACACCAATTGTCGGCTACCAGTCGACGTGTAACCCCGTTACACCCTCCCCCACCATACTGACGTTACCACAAAACCTCAATCGAATTCTCACCTCGAAGAGGTAGGTGTGTGTGCACTTTAACCTTCACGTTTGGCAAAACACAAAACACCATAGCATCTCCACCTCATGAGTCCTTAGCTCTCTCGTCCTACCTCGGCATCGATGTAGAGGTGGATTATGGTAGCGATACCGATATCCATGGTGAAGAGAGGACAATTTCCGACTCATAAGTGCTAAAGGCACCGCCTCATACTGCACCAAAACCATTTTCCGAGCGGGGCGAAGTTAACGCGCCATCGGCGCCGCATTAAATACCCATCGTGGGCGATGTCATCATCACCAATCCTTTCTATGAGCAACAAAAGCTGGATATCCAACGAGAAGAGAGCGCTCAGCGCCGTATGAAGCTTGCTGCAACTCTTGAGGGTAGTCGTGGCTATCTGTTCACCCCACTCAGTGTGGAAGAGCGTATACGTCAAACGATAGGTCGTGCTTTGGCAACGTGGGCCATTGGAGCTGAGCCAACATCTTTTGATGAGGGGGCGAGTCGACAAATACTTCGCGAGAGGTACCTTCAACCTTACTTGACGACTCAGAGTCAATACATGTTGCGACTTGACACGCAAGCACGGGG